GCACTGGCTGCTCATGCAGAGGCCTAGATTTCAGTGCCCAGCACCCACATGGTGGCTAATAACCATCTATAACTCCAGTTCCAGGTGGTCCAGTGTCCTTTTCTTGCCTCAGCAAGCATTGTATGCATGTGGTACATACATTCAGGCAAAACATTCATACACAAATTTTTTTTTGAGTATATGGGCTCCATGGGGACCTGTCTATGGGAGGGTGCCAATGAAGATGGGGTATAAGGATAATTAAGATTGTTTGAGATGTTCTGTATGAAATACATAAAAACTCAATTAATTAATTATATATATATAAAATTTTTTTACATTAAAAAACTCGTTTTCATCCTTGCACAACAAACACTTCACCATCTGAGTATCTCCCAACCCTAATCACTCTGTTTTAATTGCTTGTGTTCTTGCTGGTATAGATTAATAGCATGTTGATCTTAATTAAGCAAATTTACAGAAATTTTAATTAGTTTTCTTTATTAACTCTCTTTAACTGTCAATGTAAAATATTCTGTCATCTGCCAGTGTGGGACTCCACTGTCTCCTATTCTCTTGTTCTCTGGAAAGTTCTTTCTAACCTTGCCTTTCTGCATGCTTGCTTATTCTCAAACTATCTCTCATTGCTTCCTCACTTCTAAAACCACCCCACTGAGAACTGTAATTAGACAATGACGTTTTTTCATACAAAACAACAGAAATCAGTATATATTTATGTAATTTTTCATATCTTATGCTTTATAACCCTTTATTTTAAAGTATTTTTAAAGATTATTTTTTAATTGTGGTGTGTGTGTGTGTTTGTGTGTGTGTGTGTGTGTGTGTGTGTTCATGTGAGTTCAAGTGCCCCCAGAGGGTAGCTAGATGGAATAGGCTGTTGGATCACCTGGAGTTGGAGTTACAGACAGTTATGAGCCTCCTGATGTGGGTGACAGGAACCAAATTCCAGTCCTCTATAGGAGCAGTACGTGCTGAATCTTCTCTCCATCCCCTATTTGAAAGTCTTAAGTTGTCAATTCTACCAGATTACTTTTGTTCTAGTGTTAGTCCTTTTGCTGCTTTTTTTTCTTTTGGTGATGTATCTGTGTACCTGCAAGGGTTTGCTAGTGCCTGTTTCTTTACCTGAGGGAAGGAAGGATGAAACTAATGCCTTACTGTGTTACTCAGCAAATTATGTTAAGAAGATGCCTCAGGACAAAAGTATAATCCATCCCTACACAACCTGATAGTCTGTTCTCCCTGAAAGAGACTTACCTGACCAGAATCTATATCATTGCTTTACTAACCAAGTCCTTAAGTGGGGACTTGGGGTGCAGAGGGTAAAACAGACAAGCCTGTTATTAACTTTAGTCTCCCATTTCCTCCTGGCCTCATGTTTTATGACTAATCTTCATAATAGTTAGCTGGAACTGAGTAGAACTCATACAATCACAATTAGAAGGAATAATGACACATCTAGAAAGTTCTTTGTATGCCCAGTCCCCATCATCAGCCCTTGGAGTGCCTCCCCATATACTTCAGACACAAACATGCACTGAGAACTGAAAACCTCTTGTTTCACTGAGTTTTCCATCAAACTTTCAGCATTCTGCAGATACTGTAGGTGTGTGTGTGTGTGTGTGTGTGTGTGTGTGTGTGTGTTTCCACAAGTATTTCAGAATTTGATAAATCTCAGTCACTTTTTAGTCACTTCCTAAAATGGAGCATCTTCGGCATTGGATTCAAGAGAAAGGCCCAGTAACCCATGCTACTTGGTATCTTTTCAAGAATTCATCAAATTTTCCCTCTTTACACCATATTAAAGTTCATGGTTAGATTAAAACACACACACACATTTAATAACTGTAGTCCTAAATGTCTTATTAATACATACCTCTGGAAATGTTTACAAATTATCTTCACATAGTTATTATGATTAACAGCTCATATGAATATTCTTCACCAAATCCCCTAATATTAAGTATTAGTGACTAAATATAGGGAGAATTATTTTCATTTAAGCACACAAAAAATGATATACCAAATATCAAAAATTCTAAGAATTTTCTAATGGTTAAATTTTTCCATGTGTATATCACATAATGGGTATATATAATAATTCTATTAAAATCCCTTCAACAATTCATAAAAATTGTATTTCATAGCTTAAGCAAGTTGAACATTACACAGATATAAAGTGATAAGTCGGGTCAAACATCCAGTCATTTCTATTTCTTCCTGGCCTCAGAGTGGGTTCTAGGCATGCAGAATTGGATGGGTTTCCAATTTATATTCATCAGCAGACACCAGTGTTCACAATACCTCAGAATATACTTTGATCTTGTAAAGTCACATGGTATATTTACCAACAATTTGAGCCAAGTTTTCTTAGAAACAATATACATAAAGAAAACATATGGTTTTTAAAAAGCACTCAGAATAATTCAGAAATTGCCAATAAAATTCTTAATAGATGATTAACCTAGTTCTCAGTATAGTCCATTTAGCACAAAATTCTAGAACCACTTTTAGCCATTTATCTTGAAGTAGTTCAGAGCTACACACTGGAATGGGATGAAAGAGGACTTCTTACAGCAGGTGTTCATGATGGAGAGGCTTCCAAAATTATGCCTTAGTCACCCTCCAAGGCCAAGTCTATTTTTTCACAGCAACTAGGAACCTCTAGTTTTAAATTTGTGTACTATCATGAATGAAATTTTAACCCTTTTATATTGATTTCCTATTCATCCAAACTAAATATTGTTAACTAAAGGAGAATCAATGTTCTGAACCCTAACAATTACTAACCTTTAGTGACCCCAGAACCTCAATTAGATAAATCAACTGT